TCCACCGAACCATGGTCAGAGCCATTATCCACAAATGGAGAAAACTTGGGACAGTGGTGAACCTTCCCAGGAGTGGCCGGCCTACCAAAATTACTCCAAGAGCGCAACAACAACTCATCCAGGAGGTCATAAAAGAACCCAGAACAACATCTAAAGAACTGTAGGCCTTACTCGCCTCAATTAAGCTCAGTATTCATGATTCAACAATAAGAAAGAGACTGGGCAAAAACGGCATCCATGGGAGAGTTCCAAGGCAAAGGCCATTGTTGGTCAAAAAGAACACAAAGGCTCGTCTCACATTTGCCAAAAAAATATCTTGATTATGCCCAAGACTTTTGGGCAAATATTCTGTGCACTGATGTGACAAAAGTTGAACTTTTTGGAAGGTGTGTGTCCCGTTACATCTGGCGTAAAACCAACAGAGCATTTCATAAAAAGAGCATCATAGCAGCAGTCAAACATGGTGGAGGTAGTGTGATGGTCTGGGGCTGCTCTGCAGATTCAGGACCTGGACGACTCGCCATAATTGATGGAACCAATTTGGCAGAGATGGTCAAGAAGAGAGAGATTACAAAATAAAGAACACTTTAACACAAAATTATAAATCGACTACGCCACCCGGAATACACCGGGAAATAACAGCCTTATCAAAGGCACACAGGTTCGCTACCAAGGCAGGGTGAGTATGGAGACGTGGACTGGAAGGATAAAGACAACAGGCACTTTATTGAAATATAAAAGTAAAAAATACACAATACATTGATTCCACACAAGGTCTCAATCACCAAAGCACAAGTCCAAATTATACATACAGATACACAAAAAAAAACAATAGAAAGTAAAGGAGATGGCCAGCAGGGGTCCTCAGCCTTCCACCCAACCCTCAACAAAAAAAGAGAAAAGAAACCCACAACACAATTGTGAAAACACAACAAGCTTATTAAGCACAGCACTCTATGTATGCACACCAGTACATTACAACCACAGCTGGGCTCTCCCACTATAAAGATCGACTGAAAAATACAATACAAACAAAAAAAGAAATAAACAAATCACAAAATACAGAAAACAAGGAACACAATACAAAATTAATTACACACTCCAAAACAAACAAAGGAAAAAACAATTATAGGCCAACTGTTGTAGCTAACCAAATAAACAACTTAATACTTTTCACAGAAAAGAACGAGGAAAAAAAAAAGACAACAGATAGTCAAATATCTGCTCAGAAGAAAACAAGTAAAAGAAGACAAAATCACTTCAATAATAACTCAAACGCACACATGCACACACGGCGTAAACACAAACTCACGAACAATAACAAAATGAATAAAGATGAGACCCAGGCAAAACAGCAGTGGATGTATTCTGCCCCAAACTAACAATCACCGAAACCCTTGCACGTGCAGTTACCTGCCGAACATGGAATAGTGAGTTACTCACAATAAACTGAGAATTAAAACAAGGGAACAAAAATTATACATTCTGTGTACTGCACTTTTCTTAATTTCGGAATGATATTCAGATATATCCTGTTTTTTTTTGTTGTTGTTGTTGTTGTTTTCCCAAACAGACCTAGTATCGCAGTATCATTACGGTATTTCATTATGCAATTGTTCTTCTTCCTACTTATCATTTGTATATAAAGTAAAAGAAATGGAACTTTATATATACATACTTGAGGAGCATCAATAATGATAAATCTGGCATCAGAAAATTTATTATTTACTTTAACATATTAAGTATGATTGGCTGAGAAGGAAAAAAAGCCACTTGATAATAAAAGGGTTCAAATTAAACTTTACACGTTTATCCAAGAGTAACTGTGGCTGGAGTGCATTAAAAGCTGAGCTAAAATCTACAAAGAGTTGCCGTGCATAATCATTAGAATTCTCTAAATGTTGAAGAGTCAAATGACTGACAGTATTAGCATCAACAGTCCCTCTTTCATCTTTATAAGTGTCACGCTTATGCTGTAATACACAAAGATAATGACAGAAGTTTCGAAAAAGTCTTTAATCCAACACACGGGTAGAACAGATGCCAGTATAACAGACGAGACCGGACAAACTCGAATGGAACACAAGGACTTAAATACAAGGAACAAACAAAGGGAACTATTTAAGACACAGCTGGGGCCTGTTAGGAAGCCGGATTAGCTGGCTAGCCAGGTAAGTTTCAGTTTAGTTTGCACCAATCCTGGGTTTTAGGTACCATGAAAGTGGCTTGGCTTTTAGCGGCACTCATTGCCATAGTAACTTACACTGCACAGCTAACCAGCTCCAGGGCAGGTTATGTTCTGGGTAAGAGATCTCAAACTGAAATTGGACCAATCAGATGTGAGCAAAGTGACACACGGCTGACGCAAAAAAAAAAAAATCACTCCCCCCAGTTTCTCTTCCTACAAATTAAAGGTCACTATAAAGTACTTAAAAAAATTACAACACAATTGTCTGGCTTTAATGATAATTACAATTTGCATATGATTTATATATTTATAAAATGAGTATATTAATATTAATCCATTACACACAAGCACTTTTAGTTTAACAATTATTATAAAGCATTTATTTTAAATGAATATTAATATATACAGATCATATGTAATATGAATAAGTGGTAGAATCAACAGATAACGCGTTAAAAATGGCTACATGTGACCATACATGTTGGAATCTCTATCGCTATATATTATCAACTATAGTAAACTAACTTCATAAGTTTAATTTGTGACTGCACTAATAGAGCAAGATAATTTCTTTTATTTGTCTTCTTTCATGGACAAGTACTTCAGTGCAAATGCATTTAAATTCTTTGTATTCTTTAATCACTTAACCTTTAACAAAAACATTTTTGAATCTCGCTGACTCTATCTCGTGAAGTAAATTACACTTGCTCTGTGTTGCAGGGCACGTGACTGACTGTTCGCCTCTGATTTTACACATTCATGTGCACGTGCTCCACAAACTCAGGATCACAACCTGAGGTGACAAAGAAAGTTGATGGTCAGCATCATGGTACCAATAAACCTGGATTGGAGTGGTTTGGTTTTGTCAACTCAAAACTAATCCTGTAACTCTGAATTTGTTCGTCCACCATCATGGTACAGGCCCCTGAAAGGAATGACTAATCAAATCAGGAACCATGGCAACAAACACAGGCATGGGAAAGTGCAAACGAAAAAAAACTGAATAACATTGTGACAATAAGTAAAGTGAAATGGATCTAACAATAAATTTACATGACATTTCAGTCTAGACACCACATGTTTCTCCAGGCATTTTGTAACTATAGATGTTACAGCAGCTGAGGCCTGTTGCAAAAAGCCAGTTTCTGAGTTTTCGGGCTCAAGAAGGTGGGTTGGTTTTGCTACACGGCTACCCTGCTCCAGAGCAAGTTTTATTCTGGGTTGAGATCGCAAACCCAAACCTGACCAATCAGCTGTGAGTAAAGTGACATAGATCTGATGCAATTGAGCCACTCCCCCATATCTCTCACTTCAAATTAAAGCAGTTTAGAGTAGACACAAAATTGCCTGAATTTTAGAGACAAAATTTCCTTTTGCTGCTAATTATTTATTATATTCATAACATGTGAATTATAATTATTCATAATTATATGATATATAAAAAATATATTATATGAGCTGGCAAATTAATATTAAATTTGCATTAATTTGAATTAATTAAAAAATATACATTGCCTATTTCAATATTTCAATATATAAAGCTTTTAAAATGGCTAAACAAAATGTATTTAGTCAGATATTTTCTTTCTGCTGCCTTTTTGCTGCAGTGCTGCAGCAGCAGTGTTTATTCCTGCCTTGTAAATGCATTTAAATTAATTGTATTTTTAATAACAGCATCTCTTCATTTTTAACAGAGAATTGAAATGCGCAGACTCTTGTGAGAAGTAAATGAAACCGATGCTCTCAGAGCTCCGTGTGATTGGCTGTTTGCTGCACACATCACACTTTCAGGTGCACACGCTCCAGAGTTAATCACAAACTCTGGATCAATCCTGAGTTGTGCTTTGTGAGCCTGCTGAACCTGGGGTGTATTCCAGAAAGAAGGTTCAACAAACTCTGAGTTAAAACTTGAACTCTGAGTTGACTTACCCTGAGATTGGAAACAGAGTGGATTGAACTAACTCTGCTCAGCTGTTTTGAAACTGAAAACTCAGAGTAGGTTGACTGAGTTTAGCGTGTGCACCACGACTATGAAAAGCCATGATCAATGGAGCTCCGAAATTATGATTCACCATGGCAACAGCTCCCGCCAAAAAGACTTCCACATACTACGGAATACATAACTTTAATTCTAAATGAATCTTATCAGAGGTGAAAACTGGCAGAAAGGTAATTTACTGAACTAATATTTATTTTCATGGTATCCCACGGGCAAAAAAGAAAAAAGAAAAATAATGTGGCAGCAGAAAAAGATTAAACAAAAACATAATTCACTTCAAATTATGTTACATGACTTTATAAATATTTGAAATTCAATAAATATCATTCAGAGTATATCTATTTCAATGTGCAGCAGCTTTTTCCACATAGTCTAATGCTTTTTCACATAATTAAATGTTCTCTAATTCAACATGCTACATTTAATAATTAGGGTAATGAAAAACATTTGACTGTGGTTTGGTTAATGGTTTTTATGATGTCTTTTTTTGACGTGTTCTGCATGTCTGATATAGACGTTCATGGAACCTCTGTACAGGGTTAAAAACTAGTTCAAATGTGCTCATTGTGGACATATTTTCAACATCATTTAAGGTCTCATTTAGACATCATTTATACGGTTTCTGGGCCAAATAAACATTCTCAAGATGCATTCAATTAAAAATCACATTTATTTCAATGTAATTTCCATTTGTAATTGCAAAGCAACTCACAAACAGTGTGTGTTTGTCCAAAAATCATAGAGAAAAAAAAAACTTCACTCAGCTTTAGACAACTTAGCATCTTTGGATTGTGAGGGAAACCAGATCTGAAGGAAAGGCTTTCTGACTCAGTTGGGACTCGGACCGGGGACCTTCTTGCTGTGAAGAGACAGTGCTTCCCACTGAGCCACTGTTTTTGTTATATAATAAAATATAACAAAAACATTTACAGGTACAAAACTCTGTTTGGATAGATACAACATACACAGCAAAATCCTCAGTGAACATTACTCTGTGTTTATATGAGTCCAATCTACACAATGTTAAAAGAAACACTGAAACTGTTTAAGTTAATGAGATAATTAAGTGATCAAATAGCAGATGATTGAGCATTTGGTAAAATCAGTCAATTTTACCAAATTTTTATTTTTTTCCGTTTAATCTTTAATCCTTGAGAATATTAATTATATTGTTTGTTTGATGCTAATTATATATTAAGTCATATCAGATATGTATTTTGATTTAGAATTTAGACATTATAGAAAATGCAAATCCATGTGTGAGATGATAATATAAAATGTAATAAATATATATAATAGAATAAATTAAACATTACCTTGTCAGAGTTGACATTAATGGATAACAAATTTGCATACATTACACATACTGTATCAACAATACATCCAATGTCATCTGAACATATGAAAGAGAAGAGAAGAAGAAAAAATTGATAATGACATTTAAACATATTTTTATGAACAAATGCAGGAACAGAACAAATAAAGATAAGAGGATTAAAAAAACAAAAAACAAGTATTAATCACGGTACATGAAAGATCTCATCATATCTCTTCAAAAAAGAAATACATTTTTTGTTATTAGTTACTTAGTGATTTAATTAAATGTTCTACTTCACATAAGAAATCTATAAAAGTAGGTATTTTCTTAAGAAACCTTTGTTTGTTCAAATAGAATTTTGCCACAAGGATAAGAAAGTTAACAGCAGATTCTAAAGATTTGTTTTGGTTTTCAAAAAAGCAAACAACATCCTTAATGTGTATATTACAGTTCATATTAACTTTAGAAAAACAATAGGAACTCAAATCTTTCCAGAAAAGTGATGAAACATTACAAGAGAAAAATAAATGACAAATATCTTCACTTTCTTTTTTTACAGAAGGTGCATATATCAGCTACATCACAAAATTTCGACACAACAGCGTTTCTGTCACGAATCCGGTCCATGAACTTCTGTCGGCTAACCATCAGAGGTCACCCTTCCCATTTTCATTGACTCTCGCACTCACACTGTTGCATATCATCCCGGACTACATATCCCATCATTCTCAGCACTGATTGCACACAGCTGGTTCACTAATTGCACAACACTGATTGCACCCAGCTGTTTCATATCACTCCCTCACTATTTAACACTCACTCTGATCCCTTCCCTCGGCTGAGTATTGTATCTGTTTATCTCTCTCTTAGCGATAGCTACTCTACAGAGCCCGTTTCCCTTCGATAGCCTTAGCCTAGCCTAGTCTTGCCTTGTCTGTTTCCTCGTTTTCTGATTATTGCTTGTGTACTTCGGATTACCTCTCTCGTCTTGCCCTGTTCAGATACTGTTTATATACCTCTGCATTGTTATTGGATACCCCTCGTGTCAAGCCCTCTGGATATTGTTAGCCGCTTATCGACCACACCCGGTTTTGATTACTCTTCTGTCTTGCCCTCATTATACCTGTTTGCCATTGTTCGACCCTGCCTGTGTTTCTGACCTCTTCTGTTCTAAATAAAGCTCGCATATGGATCCGCACGTCTCACGTCTCGTCAGCCACGTTACAGTTACAAGGGTATATATTATGCAAAATTTTAAAATGCACTTCTTTCACTTTATTGGGTATACAGTATTTATATGGTAATAACCATGTTTTCCTCCATTGAATGTTATCTATTTTAGAACCCCCAAAAAATTTCCCTTTTGGAGAAATTGAGTTTCGAGATTGAGAAAGTTGACGAATAAATTAATTATTACATTCTTTACTTAAAAGCGAAACACCTCCCAAACATAACTGTGAAAGTTGTTTTGAGCATGACTCATGGGTGAGAGAAGCTTTCATCAGACATATTAATCCATCAGGAATCGCCTTTATAACAGAGTTAAATTCTTTAAACGGAATGGGAAATTGATGGATATTCATAAAACATTCATAAGATAACAAATCGCCATTAGAGTTGAATAGATCAGCAACAAAGCGAGCGACGCACATTAGGTAATAGAAGCAACGGACTCATGACGCAGCAAACGCTCGACATGTTTGTGTTGCATTTAAATTAATCCTTTTGCTAAACCCTGTCGTAAGCATTGGCTGTAAGTTCATTCAAATCATTAATCTGTCTAATTTATATTGCAGGAGAGTATGTTCAGTTTAAATGTGATATAATCAAAGATGTTTGTTATTGCCGATTGGCGCTAGTGCACTGCATTGAGAATGCTTCTAACTTGCTTCTGAGTTAGCGATGTATCTGTATACATTTTACTAGTTAAACTGATAATAAGTTTGTTACAAATTGATAGTTAATTTTCTACATTTCTTTCATTTCACTTACAGTTTTACTCGGTTCAATGGCCGCTGAGTTTGACTATGTAAATCATACGTTGGACTATTAAAGGAGCAAGGCGCTCATATCCTGGCTCAGTGAACAGAGTTTGGCTTGCTGTTTATTTATATTACACGTTTTGGGAAAACAAAACATATAAAGAGAACAGTACAGTAAAAAGCCATGGATCAGCAGGTGCAAGAGAAAAGTTCAGGAGAGAACACGCAAACTGAAGGGAATAGAGGGAAAGAAAAGGCATCTTCAGAGGTTAATTCTAAATGCTCATTATCTTCCTCCAACCTTCCTCTAGTGCTGCTGCAAAAGCTAGAGCCTCAGCAGAAGCTGCACGTGCCAAGATTGCGTATATATATATAGTGTAGAGTATAGATAATGAACGTTTGCAGAGCACAAGATTTCCAGATTCCCTGTACAATCTGCCTCGTTCCATCCCGAATACTGCATTTAAAGCATCTCCACGTCAAGATCCTGCTACACAAAGGTATGCAGTCCATTCAGATACACAGCATTTCTCTCAAAGCCAAGTCAAACCTATGTTAGACTTTGCTAAATACTTAGCAAGGAGAGAGCTAGTCACCACAGGGCTTACCAAATTTGAAGATAATCCAGAAAATTTTAGAGCCTGGGAGTTTTCATTTGTTAATGCTATGCAAGACTTACAACTCTCAGCTAACGAAGAGTTAGATTTGTTAGTTAAATGGCTGGGGAAGGAATCTTCAGATCATGTGAGGAGGATTTGAGCGGTGTATGTTACTAAACCGCAAGCTGCTCTCCAGTTGTCTTGGACGAGACTTCAAGAATGCTATGCCACCCCGGAAGTGATTGAGAGTGCCTTATTTAAGCGCTTGGATAACTTTCCACGTCTATCTCCGAAGGATAATGTGAAACTCAGGGAGCTTGCAGACCTGCTCATGGAGATACTTGCAGCAAAAGGAGATGCATACTTGCCTGGATTAGCTTACCTTGATACCCCTCGCGGTATAAATCCTATAGTGGAGAAGTTACCAGCAAATCTGCAGGAGAAATGGCTGTTCACCAGCTCACGTTTCAAGGAAGAGAACAAGTTCAGTTTTCCCCCATTCTCGTTCTTCACACATTTTGTTTGCAGTGAAGCTAAAGCAAGGAATGATCCTAGTTTCAAGCTTTCAAACAGTAGCCATGCAGACATCCATAATGAAAGACCCCTCTATAAACATGGTGCTAGCAGAATTCCTGTGTCGGTGCATAAGACAGATGTATCTAGAAATTATGAGTTCAATTCAGCAAATTTGAAAGAGGCTGTTAAGATAGATTTGTTGAAGCACTGTCCTATTCACAACAAAGCGCATCCCCTGTTGAAATATAGAGCCTTCAGGAAAAAGTCATTAATAGAACGCAAGAACCTCCTGAAAGAACATAAGAGGTGTTTCAAGTGTTGCTCTCTGAATCATGTAGCCAGAAAATGTCTCGCAACCCTCAAATGTGCTGAGTGTGATTCTGATAGACATTGCACAGTCATGCATCCGGACATAGCTCCGCCTCTCTTCCCAACTCCGGTGCTAGAACCAGACATGGAACAGCAGGATGTTACTACCCCAGAGGTAACCTCAAAGTGTACAGAAGTTTGTGGAGAAAGTGTTCCAATGCAGTCCTGTGCAAAAATGTGCTTGGTGTGTGTATTTCCTCGAGAGCAACGGGAACGAGCTATCGAAATGTATGCCATAATTGATGATCAGAGCAACCGCTCGCTGGCCAAAGGAGAATTCTTTCGACTGTTCGGGATCCAAAGTAATCCCTCTCCGTATTTGTTGAGAACATGTGCTGGTTCCATGGAAATGTCTGGAAGGAAAGCGGTTGGTTTCCCAATAGAGACACTGGATGGCAAGACATGTCTTGATCTCCCACCACTGATTGAGTGTAACGAGATAATGAGTAACAGATCTGAAATACCCACACCAGAAGTCGCTCTTGCTCATCCTCACTTGAAATCTGTGGCACAGTTTATCCCAAAGCTAGATCCTGATGCTCAGATCTTAGTATTGCTGGGAAGAGACATGATCCGTGTACACAAAGCGAGACAACAAATCAACAGGCCTCACAATGCACCTTTTACGCAAAGGCTAGATTTAGGCTGGGTGAAATCACCATAAGCCGATGGGGAGTGTCTTTAAAACTTACATCACTTCTCACTCCATGCCAGAGTCATATCAAAGTGAAAGAGAAATTGTGCCATGGCGGGGAGCATAAATCTGTTGTTTTTCCCCTTGCATTCAATCATGCTACTCATGGTGTGCAAGCAGAAGATGAACTTGGGCTTAAGGTATTTGACATAACCAAAAATTATAACAAACCTGCCATGTCCTTCGAGGATGAAATCTTCTTGAAGATCATGCAAACAGAATTCCACCAAGACAAACAGAAAAACTGGATTGCTCCTTTGCCATTCAAGTCACCCAGATCATTAATCCCAAATAATCGGGAACAAGCTTTGTCTCATCTAAATTCTTTTACGCACGCTGAGTAGAAAACCCGAGATGAAAGAACAGTTTTCCGTCTTTATGGAGAAACCCTTCCAGAACCACCATGCGGAAAGAGCACCACCTATCCATGAGAATGAAGAATGTTGGTACTTACCCATCTTCGGAGTGTATCATCCGCAAAAACCGGGACAAATACGGGTGGTATTTGATTCCAGCACACAACACAAAGGTATTTCTTTGAACAACATGCTCCTCTCAGGCCCTGACTTAAACAACTCACGGTTAGGTGTGCTACTACGGTTCAGAAAAGATCTCGTAGCCATTATGGGGGACATCCAACAGATGTTCTATGGTTTCCTGGTGAAAGAGGACCACAGAAACTATTTGAGATTCCTCTGGTATAGCGACAACGACTTAAGCAAGGAGGTGATAGAATACCGTATGAGGGTACATGTTTTTGGAAATAGTCCTTCACCGGCAGTGGCTATATATGGGCTACGGTTAGCTGCGCAGCAAGGTGAACAAGAGTACGGAACTGACACTTCACACTTTGTCAACAGGCACTTCTACGTGGACGACGGCCTCATGTCCTTTCCCACGGAAGCTGAAGCTATCGACTTGCTCAAGCACACTCAAGAATCACTTTCCAAGTAGATTATTAAACTCCACAAGATAGCCTCAAATAGTGAATTTTGGAAATGAGAGTTGACCTGCACAAAGAAGCCTGGGTTTATACTGGGACATAAAAACAGATACTTTCACCTTCAAAGTCGCAACAAACGACCAGCCCTACACTCACCACGGAGTGCTTTCTGTCGTGAATAGCCTCTCTGACCCTTTGGGCTTTGTGGCACCAGTGACAATCCGGGGCAGAGCGCTGGTACGTGAGCTGACCAAAGAGGTACATGATTGGGACACGGTCCTTCCTGAAGAGAAGAAAAACATGTGGGAGGAATGGAAAACCTCACTTCAAAAGCTAAGTAACCTTCACATCTCACGCACATACCTACACCATTCACTTTCTAACACTTCATACACGGAGTTGTGTGTCTTTTCAGATGCCTCAAACTGGGCCATAGGGGCAGTGGCTTACCGCAGAGCTCTGAATGATGAAGGCGAGGTCAAAGTGGGATTTGTGCTGGGCAAGGCAAAGCTGTCACCTCGTCCTGAGCCTTCTATCCCTCGCCTGGAGCTGTGTGGTGCAGTGCTGGCTGTAGAGATGGCTGAACACATTCTCGATGAGCTAGACCACAAGCCGAATGCAGTTAAATTCTATTGTGACAGCAAAGTGGTCCTGGGTTATATTTACAATCAGTCCAGACGTTTCCTTGTTTATGTGCACAACCGTGTTCAGCGGATACGTCAGTCGACTTCTCCAGACCAGTGGAGTTATGTGCCTACGGTTCAGAATCCAGCTGACCTGGCAACCAGATCCGTGGTTACATCACAGCTGAACAACACCATATGGTTCACAGGACCCAGCTTCCTCTACCAACCGCCCCAAGAGCAACAGTGTTCTTTGAACTGGTTAATCCTGAGACGGATGCAGAAGTCAGACCTTGTGTAACTAGCTTCGCTACTCGAGTTGAAAGAATCCTCTTCTCTGAACGGTTTCAGTGTTTTTCTACCTGGGAATCTTTGCTAAGAGCGGTATCCTTTCTGATTCATCAAGCTTGTTCTCACACATCAAGTTCCATCATCACATCCCATACGTGCAAAGGATGGCATCAGTGCAGCAAAATATACACACCAGAAGAGCAGACAGCAGCAAAGAAACTAATACTTCGACATGTCCAGAAAGACCTATATCCAGAGGAGTATGCTGCTCTGCAGAGGGACGAACAAGTTTCCCATTCAAGTGCGCTGTGGAATTTAGACCCCTACATCGATGACGGTCTCTTGAGGGTGGGAGGGCGTTTAAAACATGCTTCTCTTGAGTCAGAGGTAAAGAATCCAATCATCCTCCCAAAGCAAAGTCATGTTGCTAAACTGTTGGTGAGTCACTACCACTCCAAAGTGTACCATCAAGGGAGACAGTTCACAGAAGGAGCAATCCGACTGGCTGGCTTGTGGATTGTAGCGGGGAAAAGACTGATAAACTCTATCCTTCATTGTTGTGTGACATGCCGCAGACTTCGAAAGCAGAAAGTTCAAAAGATGGCAGATCTTCCTCCTGAGCACCTCAGTACATCACCTCCATTTACGTACGTGGGTTAGATGTTTTTGGTCCATGGACAGTGGTCTCTCGACGCACCAGAGGCGGTGTAGCTGAAAACAAAAAGTGGGCTATACTCTTCACACGAGCAGTACACATAGAAGTCATATTGTCTATGAACACTGCCAGTTGTATCAATGCTCTGCGAAGGTTTTTCGCTGTGAGAGGACCAGCAAAACAGCTCAGATCGGACAGAGGAACCAATTTTATCGGAGCTAGTCAAGAACTGGGCATGCAACCAGCAAAAGAAAACCAGACTAGTCTTCTGAAATACCTCCATGAGAATGGCTGTACTTGGGAATTCAATCCGCCACATGCTTCCCATATGGGGGGAGCATGGGAACGCATGATCGGCGTAACCCGCAGGATTCTAGACAGTATGCTGCTGCAGAAGAAACATGCTCACTTAACTCATGAGGTACTTTGCACTCTGATGGCAGAGGTGTCAGCAATCATAAATGCTAGACCTCTGGTTCCTGTCTCAGCAGATCCCTATTCTCCATGCATACTCACTCCAGCAATGCTCTTAACCCAAAAGCTCGGAGTACCTGTTCTGTTCAAGAACTACACTGAAAAGGACCTCTTGAAATGTCAGTGGAAGCGAGTGCAGGCATTGGCTAACGAGTTCTGGAGCCGATGGAGAAAATAATACATCAGTATACTCCAACCTCGACGCAAGTGACATGAGACTCACCGAAACCTGCACGCTGGAGATGTTGTGCTATTGAAGCAAGTGCAGTCCCCAAGGAACGATTGACCATTGGGCCAATCACATCTGTCTTCCCGAGCAATGATGGAAATGTCCACAAGGTAGAGGTTAGAACAACCTCAGGCGGTAATGTGAAAACATTCTTAAGACACATTTCTGATGTTATCTTACTGCTAGCCAAAGAGGGCTAAATAAGACTAACACAGACTGTTATAGTGGCCTTAATAATGCCAGGCGGGGAGTGTTCTGCCTCTGTTAGAGGTTGTGTATAATTTATGATGGGCATTTGCATTTATCAATATTATATTTCTGTGATGTTTAATGTTCTGTATGAGTTTCATATTGCCTGCCGCTATTGTGAAAGTTCTTATGTGAGGACTCCTATTTTGACGCGTTTCTGCGAGCGACGCAGATTAGGTAATAGAAGCAACGGACTCATGATGCAGCAAGCGCTCGACATGTTTGTGTCGCATTTAAATGAATCCTTCTGCTAAACCCTGTCGTAAGCATTGGCTGTAAGTTCATTCAAATCATTAATCTGCCTAATTTATATGGCAGGAGAGTATGTTCAGTTTAAATGTGATATAATCAAAGATGTTTGTTATTGCCGATTGGCGCTAGTGCACTGCATTGAGAATGCTTCTAACTTGCTTCTGAGTTAGCGATGTATCTGTATACATTTTACTAGTTAAACTGATAATAAGTTGTTACAATTTGATAGTTAATTTTCTACATTTCTTTCATTTCACTTACAGTTTTACAGTTCAATGGCCACTGAGTTTGACTATGTAAATCATACGTTGGACTATTAAAGGAGCAAGGCGCTCATATCCTGGCTCAGTGAACAGAATTTGGCTTGCTGTTTATTTATATTACACGCTTTGGGAAAGATAACAAAAAACATTTAAAAGAGAACAGTACATATATATATATGTATATATAATACGGGTCAAGCGATTAGTCAACAGAAGAGACAGATGGCTGCACGTGAGTGTCCTGCGTAATACTTGGTTATAGATCTGCTGTTGGAATTATTACTTGCTGCTAAGAAGGAATATTTCGTTTTCTGCCTATTTCTACGTTATATTTTTGTTTGCGTTTGTATTTTTGATTGCACTTTCTGGTAATTATAATAACTGCCCTCGGCTAAGAAGGAGCGCGTGTAATTTAATTGCTCCCTTCCTGCGTTTAAGTGCGAACTGTAGTTTCGATTGGAGGAATTGCCCTGCTATAGACTATTGGCTGTGCTAATTAGAAGGCGGCCACAGCTGTTTTCACTTTAGTGTCTTAGACTGTGTATTTATCTGATGTCTGTGCGCTGACGCAGAAGCATCAGCGGAAGCGTTCAGGCCTCCTCGTGTGAAGACCAACGAATGTAAAGACCTGCGACTTTACCTGCGCGACTTCACCAAGCAACGAAATCGCCAAGGCACTTAAGTATATTTTTGCTCTTGCCTGTACACACTCTCCTTTTCTGTCCTCTCTTTCCCACATCTATCTCTTTCCTACGTTTCCAAACCATTCCGGTTGTCTCTCGACGACGCTCTACGGTCACACGCAGACGGAATTGGATCTCTCTTTATTTATTCCTTCTCTTTCTAGCTTGTACTTATTTGAACAATGTCTAAGAACTTGGTATTACAACCACTTCTTGTGTCTGTTTGCCTCTTTAAGAAGAATCACTTTATGTATCCCCCAATTGTAAGTCGCTTTGAATAAAAGCGTCTGCTAAATGACAATGTAAATGTACGCTATATTACATATTGTAATATTATATAATGTTGTGCGCTATCTGTCACGCCGACTGAAGGCTCGTCAGTAGATCACACGTGCGCTGAAGTGAACTAACCCTGGAACATATTCTGCTCCGGAGCAGGTTATCTTCAGAGAGCAAGTTACTATGGTTACTTACATACCCTGAAAGTAACCTCTGATTTTGGAACTGAAAGCTGAAGTTATCCGCTCACTTATCCTCAAACATACCCGGGTATGTCACACAACCTGCTTTCTGGAATACCCCCTGAAGTTCTTATTGAGAATTAACAAAGGGTTTAGATCTTGACATTTGTTTAATTTGAAGTCACCATTGTGGTGGGCAGTGCTTGCTTTATTTGGGATCTTGGTCCTCATGCTTGCAGCTTATTGATAACAACACCATTGTAAAATAAGCATGTGATGCTGTGTTTACACACAAAATAACACACAAAATAAGTTATTTTGATTATAATCAGGCCACCTCATGATATGAAATCAGCTAATATCACCACATTGTATAGCACTGATTACTCTGCTCCACAACACCTCATACATTGCTACAGAAAGTCAAGGGTCAAGAGCACAACTAAAGCAAACACTGATCTCCATGATGGTGACATCATTTTAGCCAATAAAACATCAACATCTGATCCTCTGTAATTCTCAATAACAGCAGGTGTTCATCACTAATGCACAATCATCATTTAATTAGTCACTTAATTATCTCATTAACTTTAACTCTTTGAGGACTTGGGATTTGACTTGAGCCTTGCTTGTGATTTGAAAGTCCCACCTACCACAAAAAGGTTTCCTTTTGACATTTCCCAGCCCCAAACAATTAATTTAATTCCTTTAGGACAGCTTTTAACTCGACTCAGTCCTTCTTCATAAAAGCTACCTTTTTTTCCCCTGATGACGCAGACTTTCGCTTCTTTTGTTACATATGATTTGTTATTAGGGAACACTATTATGTGTTATGCCGACATAAAAGAGGTTAAAATCAAACCCCCTTTATCGATGTCTGCCCATAATGTAATTTAAGGAAGCACAGAATCCATACAGAAGCGAATATTGTCCGTGGTAATCTCTGTTGCTGTATTCACATCTGTCATAATATACTGATCAATCTGTACTTAAAAAAACCTTCCTTCATCCCATACCATTAGTCTTGACCAGAGGCATTTTGCTTTTTAAAACAGTTTTCTATGTTGATATTAAATGAATTATATTATGGGCAGACATTGATAAAGGGGGTTTGATTTTAACCTCTTTTATGTCGGCATAACATTTATTCAGAACATCGTTGTTCCTTGTCCCAGATGTAACATACTGGAAAAAGCATGGTAAAAAAAAAAAAAAAAAAAAGGTTTAAAATGATTATAATCACCAAAGATGAAAACCAGAGTACCATGTGTTTGTTTGTAATAGTCTAATATAAATAAATTGCCTCTTGATTCATTACCATTGGAGGGAATGTGCACTACACACAGTATAACACTGCTAAACTTCCTTGAGAGAAAAAAAGGTCTCAAACTTAGAGGTATTCAGTGTCAGGATTGCAGCCAGTGTATATGACTGTATCGCTGTATATTGTTTGTACCATCTGTTACTCACACACAGATGCCTCCTCCTCTGTGCTTTCCCTCTATTGGCCCGAATAAGAGAGAATCCCTCCATCTTCACAGGCGAGCTAGGACTGTCCATAAGAAGTCAGGTCTCTGTAAACACCATAAAACTTGAGTCCTGGGGGGTATTCCAAAAAGTAGGTTATGTGACATACCCGGGTATGTTTGAGGATAAGCGAGCGGATAACCTCAGCTTTCGGTTCCAAAATCAGAGGTTACTTTCAGGGTATGTAAGTAACCATAGTAACTTGCTCTCTGAAGATAACCTGCACTGGAGCAGAATATGTTCCAGGGTTAGTTCAGTTAAAATGATGGCACCAGCATGGAGATCAGTGTTTGCTTTAGTTTGGCTCTTGACCCTTGCCTCCTGTGTTAGATCTTTCTTAATAGCAATGCATGCGGTGTTGTGAAGCAGAGCGATCAGTGCTATGTAGTGAGCAGCTATTAGCCGTTTTTATATGATGAGAAAGTTATCAAGTGCTGACCTGATTACAATCAAAAGATGTTATATGTTTTGCATAATCAACCCTGTGAAACTACTGCATGTAAAACAAAGTGCTGCTCTATTACTATGAATGAATTTTAAATCTTTGTAATGCATATAAAATTTGATCTCCATTGCTGCTTAAACTCACACAGACATCAAGAACCAGCTTATGAATCTCAACAATGGTGACAATCAACAAAATGCTTCATGCTGCAATGCATGCTGGGTAACACCATAGTAAAATCTCCCATCATGCACTGCAGTATGACTAATTATTGTCACCACTGTTGAGGATCATATGATAAGTGTTCATCTGCTACTTCAAGGCATGATACAGGAAATGCACACGTTTGCAGTGAAACAACACTGCACTTACTTAGAAGCAAGTTACTTTGATTTAGTTTTAGGGTCAAGAGTCCAACTTCAGAATTTGTTAACTGGTTAGCTTGTCATTAGCATTTCTATTTGTGCTTATTGTTATTTTTTTCTTTTGCTCGTTTTTTTCACAAGTTCATCAAACAACTGTGGTAAGTTAGAATCATTCATCAATCACGGTGAGTAATGGCTTCTTCTCCTGCTATTGTTATTTATTATTCGGTTGCCACATGTATAGTTTATCTCTCTCTGTCGGTGAGGAGGGGTTCACATGTGATAAATGCAGGGAAATAGTTAGGCTGACAGAGAAGATTTCAGAATTAGAGACACGCATCCAAACTTTAATTGAGGACAGTTAGAATGTGAGGGCTCTAGGTACGGCTTTGGATGCGACTAGCTCAGGGAGTCCTGTACATTGTTCGGTTCCGGTTCCAATGCCTCCGCAGCAGGGCGACTGAGTGACTGTGAGCGTAGTCATGGGTCAAAACACCGCTCTACCGTTCCTATCAAAACATTAAACAGGTTCTCCCCACGCAGTGATGCACCCACTGAGAAACCTGATCAAAGTGCTCTAGTTATTGGCGATTCTATATACGGAACATGAAAATAGAGACACCAGCCACCATAGTCCAATGTTTACCGGGAGACAGAGCACCTGACATCTTGGCAAATTTAAAAGTGCTGGCAAATGCTAAACGTAAATACAGTAAGATTGTTATTCACGCTGGCGCTAATAATGTTCGACTTCGCCAGTCGGAGATCACTAAAAATAACATTAAAGAGGTGTGTGAACTTGCAAGCACGATGTCAGACTCTGTAATATGCTCTGGTCCCCTCCCTGCTTACCGTCGTGACGAGATACATAGCAGACTCTTGTCACTCAATGGCTGGATGTCTAAGTGGTGCCCGCAGAATAACATACACTGTAAAAAAAGTTCGTTAAATTTACGGTAAAATACCGGCAGCTATACGGTAGCAACATTTTAGGTTTTACAGAATGGTTTAAATTTAC